ATCGGTTGTGGATATCGGCCCAATTTTACTCATCGGACCGATGCCGATATGTTAAAAAATGACGAACATCGGCCGATACCGATATTAATGCCGATATATCGTGCATCCCTAGTTAGTTTCCGAGTTATTGTGTGACCTTTTGTTTTTTTTAACAGGTTAGTTTGAACTAATGTTGGTAGCTGCAGGTTGAGGCACCGGTAGACTAGCAACTCCCGTGCTCTGTGAGGTAATATTACAGTTTTTGTCAAAGTAGTCTGGAAGCTTTGGAGAGAGCGATATAACTGGTACAGTAAAGCAGTCAAAATATTTTAAATATAATGTAGGAGTGCTGTATTAAGACTGTTCACCTTTGCGATTGTTGTCAAATAATTGTTGGCACGATAACACAGTACAGCGTGAGAAAGATCACAGCCCCCTGATGAACAATGCTGAAAACACAAAAACAGCAGAAAGAAAACAGCATGGGAGGTTATAGACTTAAATCCTGTCTGAAATATAGTTTAAAAAAAAATGTGGATGGTTGAAGAAGAGGGCAGAGCAGCTGCGATCCTGTTCCTTTACCCTTGTTTCCGCTCTCAGCTTCACTGGCTAAACTACTCATGAACCAGACTTTGGCACTTTTTCTCTTTTACTGTAGGGAACCAATCAGGAGAGACGCTACATGGTGTGTCAGGGTTTATTACTGAACTCTGACCAGGACGTACACTTTCTGTTTCACAGATGATTATCAAAGGCTCTAAAACATGGTACAGGCAGAAGCCGAGACTCTGGCAGCAAGGCCCTGAATAACATAATATGCCTCGTAATTATAGGTCATGTGTATTAATGAAAATGCATCAGTTATAATGTTGAATATTTATTTTCTAGATAAGAACAAACAGGAACCACATGTTCAGCTCTAATGAAAAATTACACATTACATTATAAATACAAAGTATTAGTAGCTTTTCAGCTATCAAATCAGCATTATCAACAGATTAATCGATACTGAAAATAATAATTAATTGCAGCCCTGTATCTCATTGTTTAATAGGAAGATGGTTATTACATTTTGCTGCATCTAAGCTCCTGTTTATCTTTGTTCCAGTGTCTGCAGCTCCTCCTGTCCCTGTCTGGTGGAAGCTGTCCAGTCCAGTAGTGTGGAACCGTAGGATGTCCCGGAACCCCGAGGTGAAGGACGACCAGATGGAGTGCCCACTGTGTATGGAACCACTGGAGATCGATGACGTCAACTTCTTTCCCTGCACCTGTGGATACCAGATCTGCCGCTTCTGCTGGCATCGAATCAGGACAGATGAGAACGGTCTCTGTCCCGCTTGCAGAAAGGTAAACCTCCATCGTCTATGAGGCCTGTTCAGTCTGGTTTGTGCACTTGTATTGGCAAGAATCTGGCAACATGATATGTATTGGACACATTCAGCTGCCTTCTGAATGTGGCCTAGAATCATGTCTAACAGTGGCAGAGCTTTTGATTGAGGATGTTTTTTTTGCCTTGCAGCCGTACCCAGAGGACCCAGCAGTGTACAAGCCGCTGTCCCAGGAGGAGCTGCAGAGGATAAAGAACGAGAAGAAACAGAAGCAGAACGAGAAGAAGCAGAAGATCACAGAGAACAGAAAACATCTGGCCAGCGTCCGTGTGGTCCAGAGAAACCTGGTGTTTGTAGTGGGGCTGTCTCAGAGGTTGGCTGACCCTGAGGTGAGACAACACACATGATAAAGAAGTATTATACTAGTCTAATGTTGCTTCTTAATTTTTATTAAAACTGTAGTTCTTCTCTGAACTAGAATAAGCCTAAAATGAATAGTATGTAATTCTGCAGCAGCAGTTCAGTCTGCCAACATCACCCACACTCAGCAGTCCTGGAAAACAATGGTGTCAGGGCCTGATGGCGTCTGTGATGATGTTACATGCCATAAATATCCTTGAACATATTAATCATCTTTGCAGCAGGACAGTGTCAGGCTGTCTGAAGTTAACACAAAAAATAAGGCTTTGTGAACACTTGAATCTGTGTATGTGGGTGTCTCCTGTTCTTTCAAGAACAAGTGTATGTGTATTGTGTTCTATAATTACTCACATACCTGAGTACATGCTGTTAACACAAAGCAAACTCAACAGGAAACACACACAGTGCGGTAGCCAAGCTTTTTAAAATACTGAGAGTCTGACCCCTGACCCAAAATTTTGAAGACTAGTAGGTAGGTAGGTAGATAGATAGATACATAGATAG